GGGGGCGCCGCGCGGAGCCCGGAGCCGGAGCCGCCGCCGCCGCCCCCCGAGCCCAGCATGGTGATGGCCGAGCCCCGGCGGCCCCCGGCGCTGCTGCCCCGCGGGCTCGGGCCCGTCCGCGTCGGCTTCTACGACATCGACCGGGGGCGCCGCGCGGAGCCCGGAGCCGGAGCCGCCGCCGCCGCCCCCCGAGCCCAGCATGGTGATGGCCGAGCCCCGGCGGCCCCCGGCGCTGCTGCCCCGCGGGCTCGGGCCCGTCCGCGTCGGCTTCTACGACATCGAGGGCACGCTGGGCAAGGGCAACTTCGCGGTGGTGAAGCTGGCGCGGCACCGCATCACCCGCAGCGAGGTGGGCACGGCGCGGGGGGCGCGGCGGGGCCGCGGGGGCTGCGCGGGGCCGGCGCCGCCGAGCGAGCTCCGAGCCGCTTTTGTCCCTTCCGGCACCTCCCGCGGGGACACGGACCGCGGGCTCCCGCTGCCGCGGGGGGGGTTCTCCCGCTTCGCATCCTCATGGGAAGGGCAGGACGCCTCCAAGGCCGCGGGGGGATGTCACCCGTGGGGTGTCACCCGTGGGGTGTCACTGCCCTACCCAGGATGCCAGCACGAAGATGGCATCCCCCGGGATGTCACCCCCGGGATGGTGGCGTCGCTGGCGGGGTGGCAACCCCAGGGTGGCGGCATCGGCGGCGGGATGGCACCCCAAGGATGCTCCGGCGCTGCTTTAGCGGCACTTTCTGCTCCCTGGGAAGGGTCAAAGCTTGTGCTGTGCCTGCCGTCGTGCCCTGGGTATTTTGGGCTTTCCTGACCTGGGCAATGCTGGCTTATCTGTTTCGGCAGAGGAACTTGTGTGTGTGTGTGTGTGCTGAATTCTTCAGCACCGCATCCTGCAAGTTCTCCAAATCCAACCATTTTTAGCCTCTTTGTTTAACCGCCCCCGTGTATTACCGGGTGATTATTGTTAATACCTGGTGCTTTACCTACAACAAGAATGATTGTCAGTCTGCCTGGGTTAAAATGCAGTCGTGTTCACTTTAAAAGAAAAAAAAAAAAAAAAAGAAGGAGGTATTTGATGAGAGTAATGGCTCTGGAGGATCAGCTTCCTCTTCTGCGTTGTTTTAGGTAGTTTTAGTTGCTACACCTAGAGGTGAGCTTTTTGTAAGGCTCCCTTCTGGTCGCTTTCATTGTTGACTGAAGAAGAGGTTCCTGCGCTGCTCTGTACTTGACAAAAGTCATTAAAACATTAAAACACTGTCCCAAGCGCAGGTATTCATCACCGTGAGCTCGTGGGGGAAAATCATCCCTTAAGGAACGGGAACATTCCTGAAATCCGGAGCTCAGCTGAGGACAGCAGAGCCCTGGTGCTGACAGGGCTGTGATTGATGAGCTCTGCATCGCAGGGCTTGAAAGGAGCTTCTCCTCTTGCCTCATTTCTCCAGTTCATCACCAACTCGGTTCTTTCTGAGCCCTTCTTGCTCCTGCTGAAGAGCCGAGCAGTGCCAGCGTTCCCTTCCCAAGTTTGGTGCCATGTGCCAGAATTGCAAACGCTCCTCTTGAAGATGCTCGCTTGTCGTTGCTCTTCAGCCCTCATTTCTTTGGCAGGCTTTGTGATGGAGATGAAAACTTTAATCTTCGTTTTTGTTGTCGTTTTGGAAAGCCCGTTTCTTTAGCGTTGTTGGAAATAACAAAGGTTACAGAAAACACAGAGCTTAGAAAGCTCCCCGATTCCTGGGTGATTCTTTCATCTGTGTCCTAAGGAACTGCTCAATTCTCTTAGTCTTGAATTTTTTTTTAACCAGCTTTTCTGACCAGTCTGCAGCCTTTTTATTTTCCGTGGGATTTTTACAGCAAATTTGCCTGTGCTGGAGGATTTTTTTTTTTGTCAAGGTCTTTGATTTTTTGAGTCAGCTCTGACTTCTGCAGTGAGAGATGCAAGAGCGTTTTTCTGGAACTGAGTTGCTGAGTTGGTTGCTGGAAGTATTTACACAATCTTTGAGGAAGGGGAACCCTGTTAAGATCACTTCTGGTGATGTCAGAGGAAATTAATTCCAGCCAAATACTCTCTGGAATAAGCACTTCCAGTTTGGAGCAGCTCACCTGATTGTTGGATCCCTGAGCACACAGAGTGGAAATCCTGCTTGTTAATGACTCCAGCCCGAAGGGTTTTCATATTTCAAGCTTCTTCTGAACTCTTGCTTAACTTCCAGTGGAAGAATATTCAGTTTTTAGGTGCTGGGAGGGCTGTGCTGGTGCCCCCTCAGGTCTGTGCTGCAGGAGGATGCTGTGATGCTGCTGAGATTTGCTCAAAAATCCTGTTTCAAAAGGATTCCCTGTCAAAGTTCATCCTGAATCTCCTGATTTGAACCCTTTAGATTCAGAACCTGTTTGTTGCTGGGATTTTCTAGCACTGACACTTTGAAATTATGTTTTACATGATTTTGACCTTTAAAGTATTACCTTTTTTTCTTTTTTTTTTTTAAACACAACTCTGCCTAGCCAATAACCATCAAATTAAAAAAGATGGGCTCTTATTACCTTGTTATGGATTGTGCACAATCCATCCTTTCTATGGAAAGACTACAGATGAGAAGATAAAATTGTTGCCATAAATCGTAAGCAGAGGTGGAAATGAAATGAAAACAGCCATGAAGCAGGAGAACAACACAGGCTGTGTGCAAACAGAATCAGAAATCACAACTTGAATTAATGCAAGTCCTAAACAACCATACAGAAGTGTGAAAGTTGAGAAAATGGGGGGATTAAGAAAGATACTAAGTGGTAAAAGTATCAGTAATAAATAAATTAATTAAAGATGTTAGGAATTGGGGTGCTGGCTGACCCTTTTACTGCCAGTCCACCCAGGGGGGGATTAATAAAGATATTAAGTGATAAAGATATCAGGAATAAATAAATTAATTAAATATATTAGGAATAGAGGTGCTGGCTGACCCTTTTTCTGCCAGTCCACCCAGGGGTGGCTGGACCTGACCTTTGCTTGGCTTTTTTGGGTGTTTGGTGCCATTTGAGTGGAGGCCACGTGGCTTTTTCCTGCCACGCTCCTTTCTTTATCCTGCTGCCCAGAAATCCTGTGATCCCAGGGCAGCTCCTGCTAATGAGGCGTGGAAATGAGCAGAGGTTTTCCTGGGGAGGAGGAGAGCAGGGAACGGGAATAATTGGGAAGTTGGAGAGGATGGAGATTTGCTTCCAGTGAAATGGGATGGGAATGGAAGAAGGAAAAGGTTTGGAATGGAGGGAGTAGGGAAAAGGTTTGGATTAGTGAAGATGCTGCTTGGAAAAAGCAGGGAATTTGGGAGCCCACCCCTAAAACCCTTCATTAACCCCCCCTAAGGATTCATCCAGAGGAACTCTGCTCGCTGCTCCCCAGGGGAAAATAAAACCTGGCTCTCTCTGTGATTTCACCTGGCTGCTGTTACAGGGAATTTGTCTTTTTCTCTGGAAAAAAGTATGAAAAATAAGCCTGCAGCCCCTGATTTGATCTGTGGTGCCAGTTCAGGTGTGCTCAGGTGTTTGCAGGGTGAGTAACTCCAGCAGAGACAGCAGCTCCCTGTGCCACACAACAAAATATGGAGTTTTTCCAGCCTGCAGGAAGTTGTGCTAGTTAATTTTAATGCATTTTATCTATTTTTAAAATGTCCTGGGTTAACAAATCTGAATTTCTGTAACCTGCAGGGACAAAGCTCTGTTCGAATGTGAATTTGTAGCAGGAAGTTGTGCTGTGGTTTTGGGGTTTGTTTTGTTCGGGTGTTTGCTTTTTGCCTTTGTTTTTCCTTTCAAGAATTAAATGAATAAAACAAAAACAGTGAAAACTGACAGTTGGAGTAGCCAAGGAGCAGAAGCAGAAGAACTTTCATCTTTTCTTGACAAGCATTTCATCCTCACTGCTTGGCAGTTGCAATTCCCAGATGTCAGGGGAGGATTGAGCAAACTCCCATTCCCTGGGCCTTCAGTGGGAAAGGGAAGGAAATAAGTGCAGTTCCTGGGGTTTTTAAATGAGGAGAAACCATGAAAGCTGCAAAGATATCTTGGAATGTAACTCCTTCAGCAGCAAAATCTGGTGGGTGGGGGGGGGAGATCAGGGATTCCCTTTTGGTTTTCCTTGCCAGGTGAAGGATGTGCTGACATCATGTATTGAAATTTGGGGATTTTTTTTTTTTTTTGCTGTTGTTTGTTTCGAGCTGTTGCCAGTAATTGTTGGCAGGCTGCATGTTTAGGAACAAAACACACTTTTCAGATGGGAAACTGCTCCGTGGCTTGAAGGAGCCTCTCCACCTCTAAGAATTACATCCCTTTTCCTGTCATCGAGAGACAGCTGAGCTCAAAAAGGAGCTGCTGAATTCCCTGCTCCTCCTCACATCCTTGGGAAGACTTTGCTGGATTTTAAGTGCTTTCAAGTGGTTCTTCTGTAAAATCCCCCCTGGTCCTGGCAAGGTGAAGATGCAGAATGAGCTGAGGTGTTTAATCAGCATTTGAGTGCTGCTCTCCCATGGTATATCCATTTTATGGACAAATTTCAGGCACACTTGAAGTTGCACATTTCCCTGGGAGTTGGGCAAAGGAAAGGGATTTTTAAAGAAGGAAAATCAGAGTGAGCTGAAGTCAATAAAGAGTTAATTGTGAACTCAGGTGGGCCCATAATCAGTGTTAGCAGATAATGAGGTTCACCTCCTGTGGATTCCTGTCTCCTGTGCAGCAGCTCTCCCCTGTTCAGCAGTTTGTGAAATTCTGTTATAATTGGAAGCATTAGTGGGACTTACATTGTTTGCTCCTGTTTCAGCATTAATAAAGTGACATTCAGGGTGAATAAACACCTTTTATATTCAGCACTCTTTAGCATTTTTACCTTTGCATGTGCAGGGGCTGTATTTGCACTTTTCTTCTTGGTTTCAGCTTTAAATATCTTCTGTTGGAGCTTTTTGCTCCCCTCAGCATCTGGAGTTACCTTCCCTTTGCATTTATTGGCTGAAAGCAAGGTCAGCAGGGCCAGGATGTGTTTTGTGAACTAACTGAGATGTGTTTCCAAGGTTTGACTGATCAATTCATCTGCAGAGTTTTTCCTCTGAAGGGATGAGCTGCAGATCCCCTTTTACAACAGCATCTCAATTAATTAAACATGTCACAGCTGCAACTGCATGGATCCCCTAGGTTTGGATTGTTCGTGTGGAGCCAACAGTTTTTCTCTTAAAATATCATTTTGTGAGACTCAGATTCATCAGTTTGACTCCAGAAATGGGCACCATTAAGAAGATTTTGGTCACTGCAAATTGCTGATTTAAGAGCACCTGGAGCCTCCCTCACCTGTTCTGTGCCTTCCATTCCATTGAAAACCTGATTATTTTTTCATGGAAAACCTGCTTTTTCTCATAGAAATCCTGCTTTTACTCACTGAAATTTGGTTTTTTTCATAGAAAATCTGCTTTTTCTCACTGAAAACCTGATTTAAGAGCACCTGGAGCCTCCCTCACCTGTTCTGTGCCTTCCATTCCATTGAAAACCTGATTATTTTTTCATGGAAAACCTGCTTTTTCTCATAGAAATCCTGCTTTTACTCACTGAAATCTGTTTTTTCTCCATAGAAAATCTGCTTTTCCTCACATGAGAGTCCTGCAGCCCCTTGGAGGGACCCCAGACACTTTCAGTGCTGCCCTGCTGTATTTTTCAGCCTGGGATTTGTATTTCAGAACTCCCCAGAAAGCCTCCAGTTACCTGGGGCTGCATTTTTCCCTCTCTAATGAGGCTGAACTCACGAGGAGCACGCTGGGGGAGTTTTTAAAACCTCATTTTTGCTGTTGGTCTGCAGGTGGCAATAAAAATCATCGACAAATCTCAGCTGGATGCTGTGAATCTGGAGAAGATCTACAGGGAGGTGCAGATCATGAAGATGCTCGACCACCCACACATCATAAAACTCTACCAGGTAGGCTTAGAGGGAATTTTCGCCTTTTTTTTCCCCTTTTTCCCCTTTTTCCCCCCTTTTTTTCCCCTTTTTCCCCCTCTTCCCCCCCTTCTTTTCCCCTATTTCCTCTCTTAGTTCTGCTAAACAAAAATGAAGATCCCACTTAAGACAAGTTCAGCTTTAAATTCATTTTATGCAAAAGAAACTGGCCTTTAAAATATTTTAAAAATAAATGGTCTTTCATTTAATGGTGTATTTAAAAAATAAAAGTGGTCTTTAAAATGTTGGTGTGCCAGGTAGAGGTGGAGCTTAAGGAGTTAAATTTGCAACTGCCTTGATAATATCTCCCCTCAGTTCCCTTCTGAATGAGTGACAAAAACAGAAGAAAAGTGGCAAAAGAGAGGTTGGGAATATTAAATAAATGAATAAATGAAGTCTGAAGATCAGGGTGATGCTTGGCTGGTGCTCACTCCTTCAGTGGCTGCTTAAAAATGCATTTGATAAATGAGTTTATTTTTAAAAAAGCCTTCAAATGTCTCCCTGGTTTGCTTTTATTTGTGAGCAGTGTCTTGGGACTTTCAGGCCAGTTCATAAATAAAATGCAAAATGAAATTCACAAAGCTCCTGCCCGCAGACGAGTTCAGCTGATGCTGAAATGTCTCTCTGAGGTTGTTGAAATAAACCCAAAATACGCTGAAATTGTCCTGAAATGTGAAATGACTTTTTGAAGTGGAGGATTTTTCACTCTCAGTGAAACTCTTGATTGTTTCGTTTGCACACAGCGGAAGGTTGTGAGGCAGAATTTCACAGCTTTAGGAGAGAACCATAAAAATAAGGATCCTTTTGGGTGCTTTTTGGCTTTTTTTGCTTTTCCCACGAGCCCTCACGTGGCTTCTGCATCCGCAGGTGATGGAGACCAAAAGCATGCTGTACCTCGTGACAGAATTCGCCAAAAATGGGGAGATTTTCGGTAAGCAGGAGAATATTTCCATGTTCAGTTTTCAGTGCACTCCTGGTCTCTGTGTGAATAAGAATCTTTTGGGTCTGTTCTTAGAGATTTCATATTTCTGTGCACCTGCAGAGTTGAAAACCTTTTAGTTTTAAATTGGATTTCCTCTGTTTCTGTTGGTTTCCACTGCCTCTTGTCCTTTTGCTGGGCTTTGTCTTGGAACAAAAATGCTGCTGCTTTGGCTGTGAATCTAAAATCACTTTTGGCTAATATTTTATTATAATAAAATTTAAAAATTATATAAAATTTTATATATATATATATGCACATTATATGTATAATATACATTACTTGTATGTATATACATTTAATATATACACACTTGAATATATACATTGGATATATTCCCTGTGTATTATATAATACATATATATTGTATATATTCAATATGTATAATATAATATACATTTTATTATATAATACATGCATTATATGTATCATAATGCATATACAATTAATAAATATGGTTATAATAAATATAAATATATTATTAAATAATAAAATAAATATAAAATATATAAATATATAAATAATTTAATTATGCTAAAATAATTTTATTAATAAAACGTTATTAAATTTTTACATTTTATTTAATTTTTAATTTAATTTTTATTTAATTTTTTTATTTAATTTTTTATTATTGTACAATAACTATATATATATTTAATATGTTTTTAAAATATAATAAATTTTTTTTTAAAACCCCAAACCCTGCTGCAGAAGGGTGTAACCAGAGGGTGACACCAGGCTGAGATGAATGTAGAAGATTTGGAGCTTCCCTGGCAGAGGTGCCTTTGTTCTTCCAGCCTCTCAGGATGCCCAGGGCTCAGCTGAGCTGTGCCACCCACCCTGGCGGTTCCCAGCAGCTCCCTGGGGTGTCCCCAGCAGCTCCCTGGGGTGTCCCCAGCCGTTCCTGGGGTGTCCCCAGCAGCTCCTGGCTGTCCCCAGCCCACCCTGGCTGTCCCCAGCAGCTCCCTGAGCTGTCCCCAGCCCACCCTGGCTGTCCCCAACAGCTCCCTGGGGTGTCCCCAGCCCATCCTGGCTGTCCCCAGCGGCTCCCTGAGCTCTCCCAGCCCACCCTGCTGTCCCCAGCCGTTCCTGGGGTGTCCCTAGCCCACCCTGGCTGTCCCCAGCCCACCCTGCTGTCCCCAGCCCATCCTGGGGTGTCCCCAGCCGTTCCCGGGGTGGCTCCTGTGCCCGGGGCTGGCACCGTGCCCAAATTGTCCTGAAATGTGAAATGACTTTTTGAAGTGGAGGATTTTTCACTCTCAGTGAAACTCTTGATTGTTTCGTTTGCACACAGCGGAAGGTTGTGAGGCAGAATTTCACAGCTTTAGGAGAGAACCATAAAAATAAGGATCCTTTTGGGTGCTTTTTGGCTTTTTTTGCTTTTCCCACGAGCCCTCACGTGGCTTCTGCATCCGCAGGTGATGGAGACCAAAAGCATGCTGTACCTCGTGACAGAATTCGCCAAAAATGGGGAGATTTTCGGTAAGCAGGAGAATATTTCCATGTTCAGTTTTCAGTGCACTCCTGGTCTCTGTGTGAATAAGAATCTTTTGGGTCTGTTCTTAGAGATTTCATATTTCTGTGCACCTGCAGAGTTGAAAACCTTTTAGTTTTAAATTGGATTTCCTCTGTTTCTGTTGGTTTCCACTGCCTCTTGTCCTTTTGCTGGGCTTTGTCTTGGAACAAAAATGCTGCTGCTTTGGCTGTGAATCTAAAATCACTTTTGGCTAATATTTTATTATAATAAAATTTAAAAATTATATAAAATTTTAAATATATATATATACACATTATATGTATAATATACATTACTTGTATGTATATACATTTAATATATACACACTTGAATATATACATTGGATATATTCCATGTGTATTATATAATACATATATATTGTATATATTCAATATGTATAATATAACATAATATACATTTTATTATATAATACATGCATTATATGTATCATAATGCATATACAATGAATAAATATGGTTATCATAAATATAAATATATTATTAAATAATAATAAAATAAATATAAAATATATAAATATATAAATAATTTAATTATGCTAAAATAATTTTATTAATAAAACGTTATTAAATTTTTACATTTTATTTAATTTTTAATTTAATTTTTATTTAATTTTTTTATTTAATTTTTTATTATTGTACAATAACTATATATATATTTAATATGTTTTTAAAATATAATAAATTTTTTTTTAAAACCCCAAACCCTGCTGCAGAAGGGTGTAACCAGAGGGTGACACCAGGCTGAGATGAATGTAGAAGATTTGGAGCTTCCCTGGCAGAGGTGCCTTTGTTCTTCCAGCCTCTCAGGATGCCCAGGGCTCAGCTGAGCTGTGCCACCCACCCTGGCTGTCCCCAGAAGCTCCCTGGGGTGTCCCCAGCAGCTCCCTGGGGTGTCCCCAGCAGCTCCTGGCTGTCCCCAGCCCACCCTGGCTGTCCCTAACAGCTCCCTGGGGTGTCCTCAGCCCATCCTGGCTGTCCCCAGCCATTCCCTGAGCTCTCCCAGCCCATCCTGGGGTGTCCCCAGCGGTTCCTGGGGTGTCCCCAGCCGTTCCTGGGGTGTCCCTAGCCCATCCTGGCTGTCCCCAACCCACCCTGCTGTCCCCAGCCGGTCCTGGGGTGTCCCCAGCAGCTCCCTGAGCTGTCCCCAGCCCACCCTGCTGTCCCCAGCCCATCCTGGGGTGTCCCCAGCCGTTCCCGGGGTGGCTCCTGTGCCCGGGGCTGGCACCGTGCCCACCCCAGGCCCTGTTTGCTCCCTGGTTAATGCACAACCCCCGGTGCTGCAGGGGCAGAGGGCTGAGCCCAGAATCCAGGGGCTGCTCTGGGCACACCGAAGGGAAAAGATTTAAAAGATTTGGGGTCTCTCAGTGAGTCCTGACAGGGCAGGGCCAGGACAGCAAAGGCCAGCCTGGCTTCATGAACTTGTTTCTGCACCAACAAACGATGGATTAACAGCTCAGGGAGCTCAGGGCTAATGGAGTTGGTGCCTTTGATGTCTGACTTCACCTTGATATCATATGATTTGTCAGTCACTCTGTGACTGAATGATATTTAGCTTGCAAATATTATGATCTCCCCTTACTGCCAGGCTTTTGTTTGTTCTTGTGCTTTGCCAAGTGGAGCCAGCTGAGTGTGTGCGAGGTGGGGTGCGAGCTCTGAGCTGAGTTTGCAGAGCTGCAGCTCCCACAGACCAGCTCTGACCACAGAGAAAAGCTGAAATGAAAATATTGCCAAAGTTACAAAGCCCCTAAATGATATTTGAAGCAAAAATCCCATAAAACACAGGCTAACAAAGCTCCCCTAAATGATGTTTGAATTAAAAATCCTATAAAATTCAGGGTAACAAAGCTCCCTAAATGATATTTGAACTAACAGTTCCTTTAAACACAGGCTAACAGAGTACCCTCAATGATATCTGAATTAAAAATCCTATAAAACACAGGCTAACAAAGACTTCTGAATGATATCTGAATTTCAAATCCTATAAAACACAGGCTAACAAAGACTTCTGAATGATATCTGAATTAAAAATCCTATAAAACACAGGCTAACAAAGCCCCTAAATGATATTTGAATTAAAAATCCCATAAAACACAGGCTTACAAAGCCCCTAAATGATACTTCAATTAACAGTCCCCTTAAACACAGGCTAACAGAGTACCCTCAATAATATCTGAATTAAAAATCCTATAAAACACAGGCTAACAAAGCCCCTAAATGATATTTGAATTAAAAATCCTATAAAACACAGGCTTACAAAGCCCCTAAATTATATTTGAATTAAAAGTCCCCTATAATACTATCAGGCCCACCTAAAAAAAATCCCCTATAACAGGCTAACACAGCCCCCTAAATGATATTTTAATGAAAAATCCCATAAAACACAGGCTAACAAAGCCCCTAAATCATATTTGAATTAAAAATCCCATAAAACACAGGCTAACAAAGCCCCTGAATGATATTTGAATTAAAAATCCCATAAAACACAGGCTAACACAGCCCCTGAATGCTATTTGGATTAAAACCCCACAAACACAATGAGAAATCCCATGGGCAGGGCAGGTTTGGAGCTGTGCTGGGCAAGGTGCTGCTGCTGGATCTGATGTCACTCGAGTGCTTTAGGATTAAATTAATTAATCCCAATAAAAGCTCCCTGCACTGGCTGCTCCTTGGCCGTTGCCTGCCCTCTCTGTGGGCTGCTCTGAGCCCACCCCAGCTGCTGATTCTCTGATTTTTGCTCCTCCAGGGCAGGGCTGGAATTGGCCCTGGAAGCTGCTGCTGCTCCCCTTGGTTTTGTTCCCGAGGATAAATGGAGTTTTTGGTTTCAGGGCTGACATTGCTTTGCACTGTGTCGTCAAATATGAAAACAAAATGTTCTCTCTGCCCGTGACGCAGTGGAGAGGAGAGAGAGGTCAGGGTGGGCACCTTTGGGGTGCTGGTTTTATTCCCAGAAATTAAAAAAAAAAATTCATTTATCCACCACACAGCCACTGCTGAGGCTTCAGAGGGGGAAGTGTGATGTGAAACTCAGAGGAGTTAAAGCTTGAAGTGTCCAGGATGGTGAAGCAAATTATTCCAAGTATTCCCCATGAATTGTGGTGTGAAAATATTGGGAAAATATTGGCCAGGATGGTGAAGCAAATTATTCCAAGTATTCCCCATGAATTGTGGTGTGAAAATATTGACCAGGATGGTGAAGCAAATTATTCCAAGTATTCCCCATGAATTGTGGTGTGAAAATATTGACCAGGATGGTGAAGCAAATTATTCCAAGTATTCCCCATGAATTGTGGTGTAGAAATATTGACCAGGTAGCTTTAGAAGAAGGAGCAGAGAGGAGGTTCCTCTTTTTTTTTTTCATTTTTTTAGAGGGTTGAATGGGAGAACAACAAGTTGGAAACTGGTTTGAGTTGCCTTGTGCTAATTGTTTAGGAGAAATTAAATTTCAGTGTTGTTGCTTGCTGCCCAGTCCATTTAAACCTGATTTATTATGATTTGAGTTCCCAGGTTGTGAAAATATTGACCAGGTAGCCATAAAAGAAGGAGCAGAGAAAAATTTCCTTTTTTTTTCCATTTTTTTGAGGGGTTGAGTGGGAAAGCAACAAACTGAAGACTGGTTTGAAGTTCCTTTGTGCTGATTATTGGGAAGAATCATTGAGTTTCAAGCTTGTTGCCTAAATCCATTTAAACCTGATTTACTTGATTTCTGCTCCTTTTATTTTTCAGATTACCATGAGTTCTATTGTGAGAATATTGTAAAAATATTGCAAAAATACTGAGCAGGTAGCTATACAAGAAGGAGCAGAGAAAAAATTCCTTATTTTTTCCATTTTTTCAGAGTTGGCTGGGAGAACAACAAGCTGGAAGCTGATTTTTGAGTTCCTTGGTGTTAATTATTGGGGAGAAATCACTGAGTTTCATGATTGTTACTTGCTGTCCAGCCTGATTTAAACCTGATTTATTGGAGTTCTGCTGCTTTTATTTCCCAGTTATGAAAATATTGTGCAAATATTGACTAGGCAGCTATAAAAGAAGGACCAGAGAAAAAAACTTCCTTTTTTTTTTTGAGGGTTGGCTGGGAGATTAAGAGCCTGGAAACCGATTTAATTTTCCCTGTGCTAATTTTTTTGGGGAAAACCATTAAATATCAGCGTTGTTTCCTGCTGCCCAGGCTGATTTAAACCAGATTTGTTTGATTTGTACTGGTTTTATTTCCCAGATTACCAAGAGTTCTGTTATGAAAATATTGTGCAAATATTGACCAGGCAGCTGTAAAAGAAAAATAAAATTTTCCTGATTTTTTGCATTTCTCGCGGCGTGTCAGCCGCGAGATTAAGAGCTTGGAAACAGTTTTATTTTCCCTGCGCTAATTTTTTTGGGGAAAACCATTAAATATCAGCGTTGTTTCCTGCTGCCCAGGCTGATTTAAACCAGATTTGTTTGATTTGAGGTGTTTTATTTCCCAGATTACCTGGCCAGCCACGGGCGCCTGAGCGAGCCCGAGGCGCGGCGCAAGTTCTGGCAGATCCTGTCGGCAGTGGAATATTGCCACGGCAGGAAAATCGTGCACAGGGACCTCAAAGCTGAGAACCTCCTGCTGGACAACAACATGAACATCAAAATTGCAGGTATTCCACTTTGTTTTTGTGTATTTTTTTGTTAAAACCCCCTCTGGTGCTGCTTGAGATTCCGTCGTGGTTTTCCACGTGAATATTTTTCCATGGTGGGTGTCAAAGTCCATCTAAAATTCCAATATTAACTTCCAGAAAAAAAAAAAAATTAGACTTACAGACATTTTTTTGTCTTTAAAGCTGCCAGATATTCAGGTTAAAACAGAGTTAATCAAATAACTTCTTTCAACATTAAAAAAAAAAAAAAAACAAACTCAAAATGGAAGCTTATTGATTTTTTTTTCTCCTTTTTGCATGCATGATTTCACTTTAATTATAAATTTAGACACAGCAGATGTTGCTAGCAATAGAAATCATTTTCATTACAATTCCACGGATCCTTCCATGCTGACTTTAGCCCAGAGAGGCTGGAAATGGGTAAAATAGAGAATATCTTGATTTGGGGGACTGTTGAACTTCAGCCTTCAATAATAGGAGAGGAGGAAGGGAAGAGGAGTGAAGGAAGGAGAAGGAATTTCCCTTTCTCAGGCTGAGAAGGGTGAAATGATGGAACATTTCTGCTCATTCCTGGGTTATTTTACCTTTTCATTTCCCTGCTGGGAAATGGTGAAGTTTCTGGAATGGTGGGAGGGTTGTGGAGCGTTCCCCAGGTGGGTTCATCAGTGCTGCCATTTGTGGGGTGCTTTTCCTTTGCTCATTTCTCATTTCATACTTGAATCCACCTCCAGCAGCTCCTGGCAATCGGAGCTCCTGGAGGATCATGGCTGAGAGATAATTGATTCACCAGGCCAGTTTATACTGAATAAATCCTAAATACAGTCTGAGGGCTGCCCTTGCTCTGAGGAATTGAGCTGAAAAAAGGGAATTTCTGTGCTGATGCTCACCTGTGCTTTTTTTCCTGCCTCCACTGCCACGTTTTTGCCCTCTGATCCCTCTCCACAGCCGTGTGCAGCTCAGCCTGACAGAGTTTTCCAGAGCTCCTCAGGGGTCTCAGCTCCTGCATCCAGAGCTTTTCCTGCCCTGGATGTCCTGAGCACTGCAGGGATGCAAATCCCCTGGGAGAAGCTCCCTGCAGAGCATCTCAGGAGAGCCATGGGCTGTTCTGGGAATTGCAGTGCTGGAGCTCTCCAGGGGCTCCAGTGAAAGGGCTGGAGATGGGATGAGGAGATTCCACCAGCTCTGCCCTGCCCCAGCTGCTCTCCTGCTCCACTTCTCCAGAGCACAAAGTTAATTACAGGTGGGCTGCATGCAAATGAGCCCATTAAGTGGCTCCTCCGTGGATCTCAGTCAGGCTTTATCAGGTTGGTAAGAGCTCCCCGTGTCCAGCCTGGCTGCTGGAGGAGCTGGAGGAAAGTTCAGGCTGCTGGAAACTTCGTCGTGATTTGTGCCGGGTCTTTCACGATTCACGTCATGATTTTTTGGGTTTTTCACGGCAGAGGAGAAGCACAGGGATTATCTGGGGTTTTTGGAGTTATCTGGTGCTGTGCAGATCCCTGGGAACAGCCTCTTCCAGTTGTTCATGGCTCATTTATCAGGCTGGGGAGGGACACAGGGCAGCCAGGATCCCAGCTCTGATAGCTGGGGCTTTCCTCTGGTGTCAGGTCATGTAGGAATTAAAAAAAACCAGCACAATAACTGATGAATTATTTTGATAAAGCTCTTCTTAGCTTCCAGTGGGCCTCTTGGTTTGTTCTGCTGCTTGCAGGACTTTTATTGAAGCTTTTTGCTCCTCAGGAATACAACAGTGTTTAGTCAAGCACCGAAACATGCACAAAGTCACCTCTGTACTTCAGCCACCAGGAGGATAAACCAACATTCAAAAGTGTTCCAAAACCTGTGGGTTCATAAGATTCCACCTTTGATAACTGAGGCTGGACTGAAATCCAGTTTTGTGTTAATATTGCTCTAAGAGGACAGGGACAAGCAGAATTCAAAGGATGTTTTCTCCCTCACTAACTGGACAACAAACAGAGGACGAGTAAAGAACTTGAGGTGAGAGCTTTGATAGGTTTATTTTCTAAAAGATATGAGGTTGTTGGGAGCAAAGCCCTTGTATTTTAGTGTAAGTAGCAAAACTGAAGGTAATAATGAGACAAAATGTCCATTGAGAAGGGGGAAGGTGAGGAATTCCCTGCCAGGTTTAACATGGAATTTGCTTAGCACTAGCAAGGCAACCCTGCCTGGTTCTCCCCAAGGTTAAGCAGCGTGGGTTCTTCCCAAGGTTAAGCACTGGTGATGTGTCCTTTGGATCTGCTGCTTTTTGAGGCCATCATCTGAGGCATTCCATCTCCCTGTGCTCTCTCTGAGCACCACCTTTGCTGTGCAGCCAGAAATCCAGCAGTGAAACCCAAACCCAGCTCAGAACGGGGACCCAGCTCCTGTTTGCGTCCTTCCAGCCCCAGACCGAGGTGCCTGCAGGAAATTCTGCCTCCCTGCAGCTTGCAGCAGCCCAGGTAGGCAGAGACTGTTATTTTGAAGGAGGCTGGAGCTGCTGCTGGACAGGGAAAAATGTGCATTGACGTCAGGAGAGGCTGCTCAGCCCCTGAAGTGGGTCAGGTTTGTTGCTGCCATGCCTCGCCTTTATCAGCACCTCTGTGCCCATTATCTGCCAGGCTCACATTTCTCCTCCAACAAAAGCTCCCTGTGGCTCTCTGCAAGGCAGGCAGATTGAGTTCTGCACTCCTCATTTCAGGATTAATTATAGCTCTGGAGCTCCTTCTTGGAGGGTTCTGGAGGTACAAGTGAGAGGCTCTGGATGCTCAGCAGAAGTTGCAGTGGCTCTGGCAGGGAGCTGCCGTTTCTCAGATTGCAGATGGGGCTGAAATCTCAGGCTGTTTCCATTTTTAACGGGAAAACAGATTCCACTGCCGTGATGGGCGCTCAAAAAAATGATACCTTCGAAATTCAGGATAATTCTGGAGGGGGTAATGAGATTGAGAAACCAAATACCACAACTGTGGAGAGCCAATATTTGCAGATTGCACAAACACAGAGTTTATTCAGCTGAACACAATGCTGCAAATGATGGACTTCTTTGGGGGTTTTTGTTGGTTTTTTTGGTTTTTTTTTTAAAGTGCAGATTCAGGGAAATGTTAACAAGATCACTCCATTATATAATCTCAGTCCTCTGGTAATGAGCCCAATTTCAGTCCTTTTAGAATTCTGTCCCTGGCATATGTTTGTTTTGGTTTGGTTTGGTTTTTGAGGGCTGGCACATTTTTTCCCTCGAATATCAGTGATGTTTCCTCTGGTATGAGACATTTTTGGGGTTAAAAATGACCACTTTGGATGCAGAATGGCTGTGACAGATCAGAAATACCAAAGAGGAACAAGGTGGAAGGAGGAGAATGAGAGACTGATGATTGTTCTGTGCTTAACTGAATCCTGGCCACTCCAAAAAGTGGGGCAACTCAACTGGCAGTGCAGTAATTAAAAATTGAGGAAGCCCCATGGAGCAAGCATCCAGCATCCTGACTAAATCCTGATTATTTTTTTTTCTTTGAAAGGGTCTTCATGGATGTTATCCATGCTGGAGTGCTTACAAATTGTTTCCCAGCCATTTGTGTGGGGAGAATAATGGAGACAAAAGGGGTGACCACAAGAAGTTGTGTACCCTAACAAATAATGCTGATCTCCCCCACCCAGGGAATTATTTTGTCCAACAAGAGAACAGAATTGGATTTTTTTGAAACTAAGAGCCAGTTGCTGACATACAGAGCGCTGGTTTTAATTCCTATATGACATGAAAAAGCCCAGTGCCAGTCAGGAGGTGTCTGGCAGAGCTTTGTGTTGTCATCCCTGCTGAAATTCACATCTGAAGGATTCTGGTGTTCCACTGGTCATGAAAAGGGAAGAAACTGGAGCTTTAGGAGTGCAGGGCTGAGACAGAGTGGGGAAATCGTGGTCCAGGTGTACAAGGCACCACTCCAGGCACTGGGGCTGCTGAGGAATTCCCTCTGGCTGTGGCTGCTCCTTCTGGTGGCAGTTCCCAGCCTCTCGCTCGTGAGTGGTCTGGTGAAGCTCTGTGCTGTCACAGGACCTTCAGAGCTGCTCTCCCACCCAGTTCAGCGCTGCAAGTGCTGCACTTCTGCTCAGAGAGGCCACGAGCACCTCCAGCATGTCCTTGCTCCTGAGGTGATCAGAAATAAAACCTTTATATATTACAAAATTCATCATCTGAAGTTAATAATAACATAAACCTGAGGCTTGGCTTATATTGGTTCTGTTCTTTTTGCTGCTCAGATTTCTTCATGTTTCTTTTTGGTGATTTCTTCAAAGAGGTGACTTTAAATCCCAGTCCGGACAAGCAAAGAATTTCACTTTTTTTTTTTTTTAGGATTTGAAATCCTCGTGCTCCCAAGCAGGTCATGCTTTCTTTAGCTGTGCTTACAAATAAATGTTCTTGTACTTGTGAATCTGATAGGAAGATTTATGAGGGTGGCACCCGAGGGAGAGCTGCAGCTCTGAGATAAAAACCTGATGTTTATCTGCACTACGAGGATGTTGAAAACCTGACAAATCCGAGATAAGTGAGGGGAGAAATCAGATTTAAATGACACTTACACGGAGTGGCAGAATGCTGCTGTGGAGAGCAGAAATGGCTCCGTGCCTCCCGAAGCATTGCCACCGTTGCCAAGCCAATTCTGTGGGAAGAAAAACTCTTCTCAAAGGGAATAACGATTAAAAAAAATCACAACAGCAGTCTGGCTGTGATAGGAAAAAGGGAAAAGGTGAAAAAAGGGGAAAGGTGAAAAAAGGGTGATGTGTTTGTGGGTCCCAGGATGAGGGAAGAGATTAATCTGGCTCCATATTTCTTAGAAGGCTGATATATTATATTATATTATATTATATTATATTATATTATATTATATTATTTAGTATATAGTATATTATAGTATAATATAGTATATCTTATATACTATATTATATTTTATATCTCTTATATATTTTATGTATATTTTTATATTATATTTTATCTTTTATTGTATATTTTATATTAGATTTTATATTCTATTATATATTCTATAGTGCTATACTAAGCTATAGAGAGAAAGGAATACATCAGAAGGCTAGGAAAAGGAATGAATAATAAAAACTCGTGACTGCTCAGAGGGTCACACACAGCTGGACCATGATGGGTCATCAAGTAAAAACAACGAGATAAAAACCTGATGTTTATCTGCACTACGAGGATGTTGAAAACCTGACAAATCCGAGATAAGTGAGGGGAGAAATCAGATTTAAATGACACTTACACGGAGTGGCAGAATGCTGCTGTGGAGAGCAGAAATGGCTCCGTGCCTCCCGAAGCATTGCCACCGTTGCCAAGCCAATTCTGTGGGAAGAAAAACTCTTCTCAAAGGGAATAACGATTAAAAAAAATCACAACAGCAGTCTGGCTGTGATAGGGAAAAGGGGAAAAAGGGAAAAGGTGAAAAAAGGGGAAAGGTGAAAAAAGGGTGATGTGTTTGTGGGTCCCAGGATGAGGGAAGAGATTAATCTGGCTCCATATTTCTTAGAAGGCTGATATATTATATTATATTATATTATATTATATTATATTATATTATATTATATTATATTATATTATATTATATTATATTATATTATATTATATTATATTATATTATATTATATTATTTAGTATATAGTATATTATAGTATAATATAGTATATCTTATATACTATATTATATTTTATATCTCTTATATATTTTATGTATATTTTTATATTATATTTTATCTTTTATTGTATATTTTATATTAGATTTTATATTCTATTATATATTCTATAGTGCTATACTAAGCTATAGAGAGAAAGGAATACATCAGAAGGCTAGGAAAAGGAATGAATAATAAAAACTCGTGACTGCTCAGAGGGTCACACACAGCTGGACCATGATGGGTCATCAAGTAAAAACAACTCACATGAGACCAGTCAAAGGTGTACCTGTTGGTAAACCATCTCCAGAGCACATTCTGCAGCCATCAGACAGTTAATTGTTTACATTTCTTTTCTGAGGCTTGTCAGGAGAAAATCCTGGCGAAAGGATTTTCATAAAATATCACAGTGACAAAAGGGAGAAGGTGAAAAAAGGGAAGGGGGGAAAGGTGACACCGTGTTACCCAGAGGGATGGGGGCTCTGGGGTGATTCTCGTGTCCCCCCGGGGTTGTTGCAGCTGAAGGTGCTGCAGGAGCTGAGGGAGGAAGGGCAGAGGGATGTGCTGTCCTGCTCTGCCCCGTGGCTCCTGCAGGAGTTTGGAATCTGAGCCGGCCTTGGCCGCGGCAGCCCCGGCCTCGGTGACATCCCTGGGCCGCGGTGGCGTCACCAGGGCTCTGCTGGGACACTGGGCTCTGCTGGGACACTCTGGGCTCTGCTGGGACTCTGGGCTCTGCTGGGACACTCTGAGCTCTGCTGGGACACTCTGGGCTCTGCTGGGACACTCTGGGCTCTGCTGGGACACTCTGGGCTATGCTGGGACACTGGGCTCTGCTGGGACCTGACATTCGTCAGGGCTCTGCTGTGACCTGTGCCACTCTGGGCTCTGCTGGGACACTCTGGGCTCTGCTGGGACACTCTGGGCTCTGCTGGGACACTCTGGGCTCTGCTGGGACTCTGGGCTCTGCTGTGCCACTCTGAGCTCTGGTGGGACACTCTGGGCTCTACTGGGACACTCTGGGCTCTGCTGGGACACTCTGGGCTCTGCTGGACCTGACCTTCGCAGCAGCCCTGGCAGCCAGCCTGGCGGAGCAGCCTTTGCTGGTGCCCAGGTGCCAGGAGCTCACCCTGCAGGGATGGGGTGTGCTGACCCCTGGGGCACTCGGGGTTCTGCACGTACCAGGGATTTACAGCACTGCAAGGGGTTCATTCCCAGCTCCAAAAACCAAAACTGTTCCCAAAATGCTTCGTTTTTGAGTGGTCTTGCAGGTAGAGTTCCATCAGAGGCTGCTGGAGCTGCTGCTGGGAGCAGCCCCCATTCCTTTCCCCCAGAGCTCTGCTCTGCTGCTCCAAACCAGCTCCAGGGTGACTTTTTCTGATTTTTTTGTTACATCTCTCTCTGTTTCTCTGCTTCTGAGGGATCTCCCCTGGTTTTCTGGCTCCTCTGAGCAGCACAGGCGACACAAACGGGGTGAATGGGGTGGTTCAGCAGAGCCTGTGATAACCACAGCGTTTATCAGCTCTGCTATCTGCTGGTCAGCATTCCAGCAGCCTGGGAGCATTCCGAGCTGCATCCACAGCCTGCTGTCACCCTGTGTGTCACCTCACAGGAGCATTCAGAGCTGCATCCACAGACTGAGCCCTGTTTGTCACCTCTCAGCATCCCTGGGAGCATTCAGATCTGGATCCACAGATTGAGCCCTGTTTGTCACCTCACAGTGCTCTGTTTGTCACCTTACAGGAGCATTCAGAGCTGGATCCACAGCCTGCTGTCACCCTGTTTGTCACCTTACAGGAGCATGCAGAGCTGCACCAGCAGCCTTGTGTCACCCTGTTTGTCACCTCCAGGAGCATTCAGAGCTGCACCAACAGCCTGAGCCCTGTCACCTCCCAGTGTCCTGTTTGTCACTTTACAGGAGCATTCAGAGCTGGATCCACAGCCTGCTGTCACCCTGTTTGTCACCTTACAGGAGCATGCAGAGCTGCACCAGCAGCCTTGTGTCACCCTGTTTGTCACCTCCAGGAGCATTCAGAGCTGCACCAACAGCCTGAGCTGTGCTTGTCACCTCCCAGTGTCCTGTTTGTCACTTTACAGGAGCATTCAGAGCTGGATCCACAATCTGAGCCCTGCTTGTCACCTCCCAGCATCCCTGGGAGCACTCAGAGCTGTACCATCAGCCTGCTGTCACCCTGTTTGTCACCTCCAGGAGCATTCAGAGCTGCCTGAGCCCTGTTTGTCACCACTGTCCCAGCAGCTGCCCAGCTCCAGGGGAGAAGCACCAGCCTCTGAGTTGCTTTTGCTTCTCACCCCTGAATTATAAAAATTCTGATTAATGTCAGACCGCAGCTGGTCCTGCACGAAGCCATAACATTTAAAAGAAGGTTTTATTTGTGGGCTGGTGGCTCCAAGGGCTGCAGACAGCCCCAGTAAGTTCCCTTCCCAGCTAAAGTCCCCGTGCTTTCCCTGCCTGTTGCTCTTGGCACAGCTCCTTCCTCCCAGCTCCAAAGCTTGTCAAAATTTGCTGTGTATTCAAGGCAAGGAAGCACCTCAGGAAAGCCCAGCAAATCTCAGATTATCTCTTGGCAAGTCAATAATCTCATTTATCTGCCATGACTGTCAGCTTGTTGAATTTTAATGGTGGCTGTACTCAAAACTCCTCCAGGTTGTGAAGGTTTTGCAGCATTTTAATCATTCCACAACACAAAAACAGCAACAGAGGACACCCAGCATCCCAACAGCACCGGTGGGAGTCCCCGCAAGGATTTGGGATGGAATCACAGTGGGGCATGCCTGTAATTACTCTAATTATTCTTTGTGCTGCAGTGCAAGCTTGGAGTGACTTCTCCCTTCATTTTTTCCCCCAGATTTTGGCTTTGGGAATTTCTACAAGAGCGGGGAGCCTCTGACAACGTGGTGTGGGAGCCCCCCCTACGCAGCCCCAGAGGTGTTTGAAGGCCAGCAGTACGAGGGACCCCAGCTGGACATTTGGGTACCATTATCCTGAATTTTAACTGCATTCCAGTCAGCTTTTGGGAAGCTGGAACGAATATTACATTGTTCTGAAGCTGCAGATCTGGAATATTCAAATTTTCTTACCTGCAGATCTAGAATATTTGATTTTTCTGAAGCTGCAGATCTGGAATATTTGATTGTTCTAAAGGTGCAGATCTAGAATATTCAATTTCTCTGAAGGTGCAAATCTGGAATATTCAATTTTTCCTACCTGCAGATCTGGAATATTTGATTGTTCTAAAGGTGCAGATCTAGAATATTCAATTTTTCTGAAGGTGCAGATCTGGAATTTTTTTTTTTTTTTACCTGCAGTTGATTGTTCTGAAGCTGCAGGTCTGGAATAATTTATTTTCTTTTTACCTGCAGTTGATTGTTCTGAAGCTGCAGATTTGGAATATTTGATTATTCTGAAGCTGCAGAACCAGAATCTTTGATTTTCCTGATTTTTAAATTAAATTAATCCAACTCGCCTTCACAAATAAAATCTTTGTGAAGCTGGTAATAAAATAAATTTTAAAACGTGCTTTTACATACATTTATCTGCCTGTGTGCTGGTTCTGTGTACATAAGCACCTAATAAATGCTGGTTTTAAAAGGCTCCAGCCTCCCTGGACCTTTGGGAATTGCTAAACACAGAGCAGACGTCAGCCAGGTGACACTGAGGGCACCAGAAGGGAATCCCTGAACTTTGGTAAATATTCCTTCCATAAAAAAGGTCCTAAATCATGAACAGGCTCTGCCTGCCCCCAGAGAAGGTGTTGCTATTTAAAATAAAATCACCTTCACCTCTGAGTTAAGGGTTCTGTGAAGGTGCTCAGCTTGCAGCAATCCCCAGTTCAGTTTTTGACAGGGTTTTCTTTAAAAAAAAAATGAAAATCTATATTTAATTGTAAAATCTCAGCGTTTTTACAAAGTTTTGAGGTCAGCACCTGCTTTTTCCCCCTTGAGAGACCCAGCGCTGTGCCAGGCTGCTGTGGTTCTCTCACTGTTATTTTTTTGGCAAGAACATTCCCATGATTGCATCCTTCCAGGAATAAGCAATTGGAGCAGAGCTCTTGCCCATAATTTCCCCTTTTGCTCACTTTGAATAATCCCCTAAACTGACTGTTCACACAGGCTTGAAATGTAAAATATTGCAGTTTTTCACTTTGAGTGGCTGCTGTCTGAGGGTTGCTTTTTTTTGGGGGGGCAAGGCTGAGATTAATAATAAATAAATAAATAAATAATAGGAGTAAATAATATAAATAATATAATATTATATAGTAATGAACTATAAATTACACATAATAAATAATAGATTAATAAATACTATGCTAATATATAAATAATAATTAAAATAAATAATATATTAATAAACAATATGCTAATAGATAATCATAAAAATAATAATGAAATTATTAAAATAGCCCAAATTCTCAGCTGAAGTTGGGGTTCACTTCTCAGTCACCCGTGTGCACCTCCCTCCTTTGCATCTAAACTCCCTTTTTCTGCAGAAAAGAATTATTTCTGTGGCAGGGCTTGGCTTGCACCCTCAGAGACACTGCTGGGAGCTTGGGACTGAGCTGAAAATTCCCTTTTTTTCCCCACAGAGCATGGGGGTGGTGCTCTATGTCCTGGTGTGTGGAGCACTGCCCTTCGATGGACCCACCCTGCCCATCCTGAGGCAGAGGGTGCTGGAGGGGAGGTTCAGGATCCCTTACTTCATGTCAGAAGGTAACAGTGGCGTGGCTTTACTCATTTTGGGGTGGTTTGAATAAATTCTGGGCTAACCAGGAGGTGGGCAGGGGGAATAGCACTGCTGGCCATGAAGAATTTGGGGTTTTCTCCACTTTAATGTGATTTTTAGTCTTGTTTTGAGAGGTTTTTAGCAGCGGCGATGCAGCTCTGGGCTGGTAGGTCAATGAGCAAGTCTAAAATTCTTATTTTTCTCCTTTTTCCAACAGAGTGTGAGCACCTGATCAGGAGAATGTTGGTCCTGGACCCATCCAAACGTTTGAGCATTGCTCAGATCAAGGAGCACAAGTGGATGCTGGTGGAAGTTCCTGCCCAGAGGCCAATCCTGTACCCAGCAGGAGAGGAGAACGAGCCCTCCCTGGGGGAGTACAACGAGCAGGTGCTGAGGCTGATGCACAGCCTGGGCATAGACCAGCAGAAAACCGTGGAGGTAAAACTCAGATGGGGGTAAAACACACTGAAATGGGGGTAAAACACTTCAAATGGGGGTAAAACATAATGAAATTGGGGTATAGCACGCTGAAATGGGGGTACAACACACTGAAATGGGGGTACAACACACTGAAATGGGGGTAAAGCATGCTGAAATTGGGGTAAAACACCTCAAATGGGGGTAAAACGTAATGAAATTGGGGTACAACACACTTAAATGGGGGTAAAGCACACTGAAATTGGGGTAAAACACACTGAAATGGGGGTAAAACATACTGAAATGGGGGTACAATGCACTGAAATGGGGGTACAACACACTGAAATGGGGGTGAAACACACTGAAATTGGGGTAAAACACCTCAAATAGGGGTAAAACATGCTGAAATGGGTGTACAACACACTGAAATTGGGGTAAAACATAATGAAATTGGGGTACAACACACTGAAATGGGGGTAAAGCATGCTGAAATTGGGGTAAAACACCTCAAATAGGGGTAAAACATGCTGAAATGGGTGTACAACACACTGAAATTGGGGTAAAACACACTGAAATGGGGGTAAAACATACTGAAATGGGGGTACAATGCACTGAAATGGGGGTACAACACACTGAAATGGGGGTAAAACACCTCAAATGGGAGTAAAACATAATGAAATGGGGGTGCAACACACTGAAATGGGGGTAAAACACCTCAAATGGGAGTAAAACATAATGAAATGGGGGTGCAACACACTGAAATGGGGGTAAAACACCTCAAATGGGAGTAAAACATAATGAAATGGGGGTGCAACACACTGAAATGGGGGTAAAACACCTCAAATGGGAGTAAAACATAATGAAATGGGGGTGCAACACACTGAAATGGGGGTAAAACACCTCAAATGGGAGTAAAACATAATGAAATGGGGGTGCAACACACTGAAATGGGGGTAAAACACCTCAAATGGGAGTAAAACATAATGAAATGGGGGTGCAACACACTGAAATGGGGGTAAAACACCTCAAATGGGAGTAAAACATAATGAAATGGGGGTGCAACACACTGAAATGGGGGTAAAACACCTCAAATGGGAGTAAAACATAATGAAATGGGGGTGCAACACACTGAAATGGGGGTAAAACACCTCAAATGGGAGTAAAACATAATGAAATGGGGGTGCAACACACTGAAATGGGGGTAAAACACCTCAAATGGGAGTAAAACATAATGAAATGGGGGTGCAACACACTGAAATGGGGGTAAAACACCTCAAATGGGAGTAAAACATAATGAAATGGGGGTGCAACACACTGAAATGGGGGTAAAACACCTCAAATGGGAGTAAAACATAATGAAATGGGGGTGCAACACACTGAAATGGGGGTAAAACACCTCAAATGGGAGTAAAACATAATGAAATGGGGGTGCAACACACTGAAATGGGGGTAAAACACCTCAAATGGGAGTAAAACATAATGAAATGGGGGTGCAACACACTGAAATGGGGGTAAAACACCTCAAATGGGAGTAAAACATAATGAAATGGGGGTGCAACACACTGAAATGGGGGTAAAACACCTCAAATGGGAGTAAAACATAATGAAATGGGGGTGCAACACACTGAAATGGGGGTAAAACACCTCAAATGGGAGTAAAACATAATGAAATGGGGGTGCAACACACTGAAATGGGGGTAAAACACCTCAAATGGGAGTAAAACATAATGAAATGGGGGTGCAACACACTGAAATGGGGGTAAAACACCTCAAATGGGAGTAAAACATAATGAAATGGGGGTGCAACACACTGAAATGGGGGTAAAACACCTCAAATGGGAGTAAAACATAATGAAATGGGGGTGCAACACACTGAAATGGGGGTAAAACACCTCAAATGGGAGTAAAACATAATGAAATGGGGGTGCAACACACTGAAATGGGGGTAAAACACCTCAAATGGGAGTAAAACATAATGAAATGGGGGTGCAACACACTGAAATGGGGGTAAAACACCTCAAATGGGAGTAAAACATAATGAAATGGGGGTGCAACACACTGAAATGGGGGTAAAACACCTCAAATGGGAGTAAAACATAATGAAATGGGGGTGCAACACACTGAAATGGGGGTAAAACACCTCAAATGGGAGTAAAACATAATGAAATGGGGGTGCAACACACTGAAATGGGGGTAAAACACCTCAAATGGGAGTAAAACATAATGAAATGGGGGTGCAACACACTGAAATGGGGGTAAAACACCTCAAATGGGAGTAAAACATAATGAAATGGGGGTGCAACACACTGAAATGGGGGTAAAACACCTCAAATGGGAGTAAAACATAATGAAATGGGGGTGCAACACACTGAAATGGGGGTAAAACACCTCAAATGGGAGTAAAACATAATGAAATGGGGGTGCAACACACTGAAATGGGGGTAAAACACCTCAAATGGGAGTAAAACATAATGAAATGGGGGTGCAACACACTGAAATGGGGGTAAAACACCTCAAATGGGAGTAAAACATAATGAAATGGGGGTGCAACACACTGAAATGGGGGTAAAACACCTCAAATGGGAGTAAAACATAATGAAATGGGGGTGCAACACACTGAAATGGGGGTAAAACACCTCAAATGGGAGTAAAACATAATGAAATGGGGGTGCAACACACTGAAATGGGGGTAAAACACCTCAAATGGGAGTAAAACATAATGAAATGGGGGTGCAACACACTGAAATGGGGGTAAAACACCTCAAATGGGAGTAAAACATAATGAAATGGGGGTGCAACACACTGAAATGGGGGTAAAACACCTCAAATGGGAGTAAAACATAATGAAATGGGGGTGCAACACACTGAAATGGGGGTAAAACACCTCAAATGGGAGTAAAACATAATGAAATGGGGGTGCAACACACTGAAATGGGGGTAAAACACCTCAAATGGGAGTAAAACATAATGAAATGGGGGTGCAACACACTGAAATGGGGGTAAAACACCTCAAATGGGAGTAAAACATAATGAAATGGGGGTGCAACACACTGAAATGGGGGTAAAACACCTCAAATGGGAGTAAAACATAATGAAATGGGGGTGCAACACACTGAAATGGGGGTAAAACACCTCAAATGGGAGTAAAACATAATGAAATGGGGGTGCAACACACTGAAATGGGGGTAAAACACCTCAAATGGGAGTAAAACATAATGAAATGGGGGTGCAACACACTGAAATGGGGGTAAAACACCTCAAATGGGAGTAAAACATAATGAAATGGGGGTGCAACACACTGAAATGGGGGTAAAACACCTCAAATGGGAGTAAAACATAATGAAATGGGGGTGCAACACACTGAAATGGGGGTAAAACACCTCAAATGGGAGTAAAACATAATGAAATGGGGGTGCAACACACTGAAATGGGGGTAAAACACCTCAAATGGGAGTAAAACATAATGAAATGGGGGTGCAACACACTGAAATGGGGGTAAAACACCTCAAATGGGAGTAAAACATAATGAAATGGGGGTGCAACACACTGAAATGGGGGTAAAACACCTCAAATGGGAGTAAAACATAATGAAATGGGGGTGCAACACACTGAAATGGGGGTAAAACACCTCAAATGGGAGTAAAACATAATGAAATGGGGGTGCAACACACTGAAATGGGGGTAAAACACCTCAAATGGGAGTAAAACATAATGAAATGGGGGTGCAACACACTGAAATGGGGGTAAAACACCTCAAATGGGAGTAAAACATAATGAAATGGGGGTGCAACACACTGAAATGGGGGTAAAACACCTCAAATGGGAGTAAAACATAATGAAATGGGGGTGCAACACACTGAAATGGGGGTAAAACACCTCAAATGGGAGTAAAACATAATGAAATGGGGGTGCAACACACTGAAATGGGGGTAAAACACCTCAAATGGGAGTAAAACATAATGAAATGGGGGTGCAACACACTGAAATGGGGGTAAAACACCTCAAATGGGAGTAAAACATAATGAAATGGGGGTGCAACACACTGAAATGGGGGTAAAACACCTCAAATGGGAGTAAAACAACTCAAATGGGGGTAAAGCACACTGGAGTGGGTGTAAAGCACACTGAAATGGGAGTAAAGCACACTGAAATTGGGGCAAAACACCTCAAATTGGGGTAAAACATGCTGAAATGGGGGTAAAGCACACTGAAATGGGGGTAAAACACCTGAAATGGGGGTAAAAACCTTCAAACTGGGGATAAAGCACACTGAAATGGGGTAAAACACACTGAAATGGGGTTGGATAAATCATTAACCTGGCAGCTGGAGAGAGACCAATGGGAATTAGGAAGTAAATTCGTTTTGAGGTTTTAAGAGGGTGGCAAATGAGAATCAAAGCAAATTCTGAGCTTTTAAGAGGGTGGGAAAGGAGAATCAAGGAGGGGCAGGAAGGCAGAGAGCAGCTGAGGTGTCTGCCCTATCCCAGACATAAATTCCAGCATTCCTGGGGGGCTGACATGGTGATTTCCTCTAGGATGGGAGCTCTGTGAGTGTCCCATCCACCTGGGAGCTCAGCACAACCTAGCATTGATGTTTTTCTGTCCCTGCCACTCTGCTTTGAGCCCTTCTCAGCTCAGAGCAGCGTTTCCCTTCCCTGCTACCTCCTAAACCCACCCAAATCCCCTCATTTTCTGGCAGAACACAAAAAACCAGCCCCCATCTGGCTGCTCCCACACTGGCTGTGCTCTTAGGAGCTCTCAGAGAAACCATCACACCTGAGATAGCCCAGCTACCCCAAACAGCATCAGACCAGCAGGATGGCTTCTGAGGCAGCGTTGGAGACAGAAAAAGGTTTAATAAAAGGCAAAATAGCAAAGCTCTTACAGAGAAGAACCAAGCCAGAGGCATGAGGTCCTTACTCCTACTAAAACACCCCACAAAAGTTGATTATTTCCCCAAAAGTGATTATTTCCCTTGTTCTTTTCTAGTGAATTACGTAGGGTGGACCTCTTGGCCTCTGTCCAGTTGGCAGCCCCAGGTGTGAGGAGAAGCCCCAAAGGTCCCATGAGGTGTCTTTGTACCAAACTGGGTAAATTTGGTACAATTTGGACCTCTTGGCCTCTGTCCAGTTGGCAGCCCCAGGTGTGAGGAGAAGCCCCAAAGGTCCCATGAGGTGTCTTCGGGACAGAAACTTCTGGGCTTTTTGCCTCTTTAAGCAGTGAGAGAGCAATTTGGTCACTCCCTCAACAGGGTGCACGTTTATTTTCTTTTGCAGTCCCTGCAGAACAAGAGCTACAACCACTTTGCTGCCATCTATTACCTGCTGGTGGAGAGGCTGAAGTCTCACCGGAGCAGCTTCCCCGTGGAGCAGCGCGTGGACGCGCGCCAGCGCCGGCCCAGCACCATCGCCGAGCAGACTGTGGCCAAGGTCAGCTCCCTGCTCTGCCCTGGGCTCCTCCCTCTGCCTCATTCCCTTCCAAAATCCTTTCTTTCCCACCTGTAATCCCTCACTGCTTGGTGGTGTTTCATCCTGACGCTTAAAATGCCAGCTCAGCACCATCACCGAGCAGACCGCAGCCATGGTCAGCTCCCTGCTCAGCTCTGGGCTGCTCTGCCTCATTCCTCTGCCTCATTCCTCTGCCTCATTCCCTTCCAAAACCCTTCCTTTCCCACCTGTAATCCCTCACTGCTTGGTGGTGTTTCATCCTGAAGCTTAAAATGCCAAGTCAGCACCATCACCGAGCAGATCGTGGCCAAGGTCAGTTCCCTCCTCAGCCCTGGGCTGCTCTGCCTCATTCCTCTGCCTCATTCCCCTCCAAAATCCCTCCTTTCCCACCTGTAATCCCTCACTGCTTGGTGGTGTTTCACCCTGACCCTTTAAAATGCAAATATTGGGTTTGCTTTTAGCTGCTCAGTCTCCTGGTGGTGCCTTGGGAAGGCTGACCTGGAAGATGATGCCCTTGGGGATATTTGGTTGATATTTGAGGTGAAACTCAGCTTCAGTTGCAAAAACACAGGTCCAGGAACAGCGTGGCAGTGATTAAACCCAGGTTTAAGCTTGGTTCTTGTGATAGAAAGTCACAGTGCCACAGAGAAAATTATAAATTTCAAGATGTATTCATGATCCATTTTAAGATGTATTCATGGTCAATTTTAAGATGTATTAAAAGCAGGATGAACAAGGAGGAATAAAACACCTCTGGGAGGGGGTTCCTTGTACTGAATTCCTGCATTTTAGAGCCACATTCCCACTTTTTTCTTCAGTTGCAGCCTCCCAGTTGTCCCAAGGATAATTTGTTTTCACACATGGTGGCACCACAGCTCCTGGCTGAGGGTGATTGTTTCCTTTTGGCCAGTGCTGTGAATGCTGCACTCCAGGAAATAAAGGTTCAAAACCAGGGGAAAATATCCCTGTTCTCCTAATCTTCAGGAAATTTCCAAAAAAAGTCATTGAAACCTTCCTGAGCCTCCTGGTAGCAGTCAGGGGGTTTGTACTCCATAAAAAAAAAGGAATTTTAGAGCACCAGAAAGCCCCAAACTCTTATCTGTGCTGCTGGGAATAAGTCAGCTTCAATAAGTACTGAGCTTAATGCCATTTGGGGTTGGCCTGGATGTTTTGGGGGTTGTAATGTTATTTTTTTTTCCAAGTTTAAAGGCTAAGAATGTTCTTCATCCTGAACCAAGAAATAAATCTTGCACTTCTGCTTTGGCACTGGGCTGCACATTGTTTCATCCGTGACTTTGGATGTTGCTCCCCACCTAAAACTCTTCCAGTTTTGAGTTCCTCAGTTCTGTTTTTCAGGCCCAAGCTGTGGTGCCCTCGGTGAACCTGCATTCCCAAAATCCAAGGCTGCTGCAGTCTCCAGGGCTCCCCTCAGCCTCAGGAGCAGAAACCTTTTCCTTCCCTCCCTCCAGCTGCCAGGGAGAGGCAGCTTTCATGGAGGAGGAAAGGGTTGAGACACCAAAGGTACAGCTTAAAATCACTTTATTATTTGTTCGTTTTGGTTTTTTGTCCAGGAATTCCAGCTAAAAAATATTGTTGTCTTTTAAAAGCACAGCAGTGCTTCCTGAAATTTAAGTATTTAAGCATCAAGAGCTGTAGGTATTCCAAATTTCTCTTTCCCTGGGACTCCCCACAGCTGTGTCTTTTTCCATCATTCTTCTGCCTCCTGTTCTTTGCTTCATTCCATTCTCACCACACTGCTTTTGGAAAGGGGAAAAAAAAGCCCTAAAAAAACTCCTAAAAAAACCCAAACAAGGGTTTCCTTCCCTTGTTCTTCTAAAATGTATTTTCAAGAGCTCTAAAGACTCCTCCTTCTTACACAAAGGGGTCCTGGGTGCAGCTGAAGTGTCCCAAAGGAGCTCCAGCCTGATCTGGAGTCAGCAATTAGAAAGGGGAAATAGCTTAAAATAATTACATTTATGAAGTATGTGACTCTCATAAAACTGCTGTTGTTTTCTCTCATGTTGCACCACGTTATAACTTGAATTTCAGCATATTTATCCTGCCTGGTGCCAGCTGGGGTTTGATTTCCTGCCTGCCAGTTTGAAGGGTTTATTGCTCCCTTGGTTTGTTCCCAGCACCAAGAGTGTGGCCCTGGTTCTCAGCTCTGGCTCCTTGTGTGGTCTGTGGCAGCTGGAAAGCACAAATCAGTTCAAAAGCACTTCAAAATTAACATTTCAAGCTTTATTTTGCATCCCCCTTTTGCTTTATAGCTGCACTTTGGCCAGGGTAGGTGACAGCAGCGAGGTGTCAGGGCTGAACTCACTTGGGAATATTCTTAATTTTTGTAGGACTTGAGCACTAAAGATTTCCAGGCTCTGATCCCTGGAAAAACTGCAGGGAGCCAGCGTGGGGTGGGTTCTGCTCTTCCTTTCTGCCACATCAGTGCCAGGCATTTGAGTGGAGAAGTCCCAGATGGGAAGGAAAGTGTTCAAAAAATGAAATTTAGAGGTAAAATCCACTCAATCAAAACAGAGGCAGCAGAGCCAGAGTTGTCCCGTGCAGGAATCATCATTTTCCTGCTGTTTAAATTATTTATAGCTGTTTCTTGATATTTTCCTACCATATAGTTCTGCCTCAAGACCATTTGTTGAGAGCTGCTGTCCATGCTGTGAAACCTCTTTTCCAAACACTGCTCCTTTTCAAAATAGCAAAGGACTTGGAGGAGAATTCAGGAATGGCTCACAAAAAATGGCTTTACATAAAATCAGCTGCAGCAGTGCCAGGTTTTGTGGTAAAGGATTGTGGTTTTTCCATCCATATTTTACCCAGTGTGATCCTATTTGTGCAGCAGGACAGTAATTACAGGACAGAGCCTCCAAAAGCTTCAGGACATGGAAATATTTATAAATAAATCTATAAATAATATTAATATAAATAAATATAATAAAATAATTGAATGCTTAAAATAGATAGAATAATAAATAATGAAGTCATAAAGTAAAATAAAAATAAAATCTTTTTTTTTGCCTAAAACCCATATAATTTCATGTGGCAAAAAATTAGTTAAGGATCCGTGGCAAGCTGGCTTGGAGAATAAAACCAGAATTAAAATCCTAGGAGCAGTTTAGGTTGGGGAGGTGCCTCTAAAAGTCTGATTCAAAGCTGGGGGAGGCTGCTCAGGGCTTTATCAGGCTGGGTAAATCCAAGGAGGGAGATTCCACAGCTTCTCCAGGCAACCTGTGTTTGCAGGGGAACAACATTAATCAAGTGGAGTTGTGCTGGAAAAAGGTGCATTTATGGAGTTATTCCTGAGCACAGCCCTGCAAGGATGAAATGCAAGGCTGGGTTTTTCCTGGTGTTTATCTGAGCGTGATAAATGAGCACAGTAGGTATAGGAAGGGGGAACAGCAGTATTGCACATTCCATAAATGTTTTATACTTGTGACTGAGCTGGCAAAGTTTTTAATAACTCAAAAGAAAACCCCAAAAAAAAAACCCAAGAAATCAGCCCTGGAGAGCACAGAACCGTGGGAATAAGAATATTTAGTTTTAGGGAATTGAGTGTTAAGGGAATGTAAATAGGAAATGAAGAATTGTACATGACAAGCCTTACGGAACTCTGCTGAGTTAAAGATCCCAGCTGCCTCAGGGCAGGGAGTTCCTGCTTTTGGGGTGATTATTTGGGCATGGGACAGAGCTGGGCACAAACAGAGCTGGGCACAGAACAGAGCTGGGCAAAAAACAAAGATGGGCACAGAAAAAAGGTGGGCACAGAAAAAAGGTGGGCACAAATGAGAGCTGGGCCCAAACAAAGGTGGGCACAAACAGAGCTGGGCCTAAACCAAAGCTGGCCACAAACTAAGCTGGGCACAAACAGAGCTGGGCACAGAAAAAAGGTGGTAACGATACAAAGCTGGGCACAAACCAAAGCTGGGCCCAAACAGAGCTGGGCACAAACAGAGCTGGGCACAGAAGAAAGGTGGGCACAATACAAAGCTGGGCCCAAACAAAGCTGGGCACAAACAGAGCTGGGCACAAACCAAAGCTGGGCCCAAACAGAGCTGGGCCCAAACAAAGCTGGGCACAAACAAAAGGTGGGCACAATACAAAGCTGGGCCCAAACAAAGCTGGGCACAAACAGAGCTGGGCACAGAAGAAAGGTGGGCACAAACAAAGGTGGGCACAAACAAAGGTGGGCACAAACAGAGCTGGGCCCAAACCACAGCTGGGCCCAAACAAAGCTGGGCACAAACCAAAGCTGGGCCCAAACAGAGCTGGCACAAACAAAGCTGGGCACAAACAGAGCTGGGCACAAACCAAAGCTGGGCCCAAACAGAGCTGGCACAAACAAAGCTGGGCACAAACAGAGCTGGCACAAACAGAGCTGGGCACAAACAAAGCTGGGCACAAGCAAAGCTGGGCACAAACAGAGCTGGGCACAAGCAAAGCTGGCACAAACAAACTGTCCCTGTGCCCCCAGGTGAACGGCTGCCTGCTGGACCCCGTGCCCCCCGTGGTGATGAGGAAGGGGTGCCAGTCGCTGCCCTCCAGCATGATGGAAACCTGCATCGACGAAGGGATCGAGACGGAAGGAGAGGCGGAGGAGGACCCCGCGCAGGCCTTCGCGGCCCTGCAGGCAGCGCGAGGCGGCAAGAGGCGGCACACCCTGGCTGAGGTCACCAACCAGCTGGTGATGGTGCCAGGCACAGGTACAGAGCCCAGCTCCAAGCTCATTGTCTGCCTCAGCACGCAGCCCGATCAGCTGGGGATGGAAGACATGGGCGTTTATGAGTGACGAGTACAAGACGGTTTCTCTTTGCTGGAAAGGACAAAGGGAAAAAACCTCAAAATACCTCAAAATCTGCTGTTGAGACAGTATAAAATCAGAGCAGCAAATTTACAGGTGATCAAACTCATGCCACAACCCCAAAAGCTACTGGGAAATCTGGCAAAATTGGCTACTTTTTCAACTGAATGTCCCCAAATAATTCATCCCTAAAGATGAGCTGGCAGAGACCAGTGGGGAAATGAAACCCTCTGGACTCCAGCAGCAGTGAGGTGACCAAGCCTTTCAGGCTACAGTTTTGTCAGGGTTAAAAAAACCCCTAAACACTTTCCAGACAAGCCAGTGAGCATCTGCAGAGTGTCTGGCTGCTGCAAGATACTGCAAAAACCCAGCAGCAAATCCCCATTATTGGACTGCAAGTTCCACTTGACAATTCCTTTGTCAAAATTGATTTCTTTGGCTGTTCACTCTAAGATAGCCACTGCTGGCAGGAGTAGCTTGAGTCAGTGGTGCTGATTCTCACTTTTATCCTGGTTTTTGGGTTTTTTTTTGTCCCAGGGAAGGTCTATTCCTTGGATGAGAACTCCTCCCTGGGCAGCATCGACTCGGAGTACGACATGGGCTCCATGCAGAGGGATCTCAAATTCCTGGGAGAGACCCCTTCCCTGAAGGAGATGGTGCTGAGCAGCCAGCACGCCCCACGGGTGCCCTCCCCATTCCTGGGGCTCAGGCCTGCCAACCCGGCCATGCAGGCCCTGAGCTCCCAAAAACGAGAGGCTCACAACCGCTCCCCCGTCAGCTTCCGCGAGGGCCGCAGGGCCTCCGACACCTCCCTCACCCAAGGTAACTCCTCTGCAGAGCAGCTGCTCTGTTCAGTAGCCATCATCTCTTTTAATATTCTGGTTTAATGGCAGTGACAGCCTGGCACAGCGGGAAGTGCCCTCCGTGCTCGGCTGTGGCTCGGTTTGTCGCTCGGCTGATCGGTGCTAAACAGAAAATCGGATTTTTCTCACAAGGGGTTTTTGCTCATCTCTTCTCCTCTCCAGGAATTGTAGCATTTAGGCAGCACCTCCAGAACCTGGCACGAACCAAAGGAATCCTGGAGCTGAACAAAGTCCAGCTGCTCTATGAACAAATGGGATCAGAGGAAGAGCCCTCCCTGACGTCAGCTGCCACCCAGCTGCAGGACCTCGTTAACAGCCCTGCACAGGTAATTAAAGCAGAAATCGAGCTCCATCTTAATGCTGTGGGATAGATCAGGAGAGGATGAGGTGGTGTGGAGATCTGGGAACAGCTAATTGACAGATTAAATGTCCTATTCTCCTTTCTGCCTTCCCAGAGTGGAGAATTTGCAGCCTTTGCCCATCCTTGTGTCAGTGAGGGGCTCTGCCAGCTTTCCAAACCCAACAGTCACTGCTTTCACTCTGAAGGGTGTTTGGGATTTAGCAAAGGCCAGTGACACCTTTTCTTGGTGGAGGTACAATTGCAAGAAGCAGATTGCAATTACACACAAATTGATTTGCAGAGTGAATTTTAAAGAGATCCCAGTGAGTTTTTTTGAGTGGAACAGGAACCACAGAATCTCTGGCAGGGAAAACCCTTAAAGCAAGGGTTAAGGGAGCCTTTTCTGCCCATGCAGCTTGTTCCTCTTCCCCCTGCAGGAGGAAGGCTCCCAGCAGCAGCAGCAGCAGGAGGCTCCAGCTGCTTTCCCCAGTGGTGCACAGACCCCACTGCTGTCCCGAAGGCAGAGCCTGGAGACTCAGTACCTGAAACACCGGCTGCAGGTACCCCTTCCCTTCCCTTCCCTTCCCTTCCCTTCCCTTCCCTTCCCAGCAGCTGAACTGGGAGCTGCTCCGTGTTTTTGTGGTGTCAGGCACTGACCCTAATGATGCAAAAAGTGCATTCTTGCTGTTTTCCTCCCCAGCCTGGCAGTGTTTAGTAACTGCTGCTGAATACAGATTATTGCTGTAACATCCCAAAAAGGTTCTGCATCAGCACCTGAGGAGCCACTTCTTAACCCCCTGGGCCTTCCTCTTCCACACTCCCTTCATTTCAAACCCATTTTCATATACCTTTAGATCATAAAAAACTGGTTTTTCCCTAGTTTTCCAGCTTGTAGTTTCTTCCACTTGGGAAAAAAGCTTTCCATGGATTTTTATGGCATAATCTCTCCTGCAAAAACATTGCCTAAGGGTTAGAAGCCAATGGGCAGCATTATGGGTTTAGAGAGTGGCTCTGTGGACAGCTGGGCAGTTACAGGGGTATAAAATCTTTCTGCTGCTTTCTGGACTCATTCATTAAATCAAAAGCCATCTAAAGCAGCTCTGCTTTCCCTGCAGAAGCCCACTCTGCTCTCCAAAGCTCCCAACACTTGCCAGCTCTACTGCAAAGAACTGCCCCGGAGTCTGGAACAGCAGCTCCAGGAGCACAGGTGAGAATCCCCCAAATTATGCAGAAAAATTACTCTCAAGAGCAATAAAAGAACTGGAACTCTCTTTGTCCATTTAGAAATTATCTGAAAAAGCAAAGTTTCACTTCAAAGCTTATTTTAAAAGCAAAACTTCTTTTAAAAGCAAGAACAAGTCTTTCCATGTGTTTACCAATTTCTCTGCCTGATCCTCATCTCCCAAATTCCCCAGAGCAGTGAACAGCAGGCTTTAAAATACAAACACAGTGCATCTCATTCGTAACAAAGTGAATTAAACAATGCATGGGGTTAGCTTAAAAATTTGATAGCGTGCTCAGAGGAGATGTGTGATAACACTGAAAAGGGTAACTTCGATGTGTGTAAAAGTCAACGAGCAGGCTTGCCCGGGGATTTGGAGCTGTGTGAGCTGCCCAAATGACCAAAATAACTGTTTTTTTTCTGTCCTGGCTGCAGGCTGCACCAGAAGAGGCTGTTCCTGCAGAAGCAGTCCCAGCTGCAGGCCTACTTTAACCAGATGCAGATAGCAGAGAGCTCGTACCCCCGGGCCAGCCCGCTGCCCCTGCCCTGCCCGGAGGAGCTGCAGCCCCAGCAGCAGCAGCAGCAGCAGCCCCAGCAGCAGCAGCAGCAGCAGCAGCCAGCCCAGTTCAGCCTGCAGCAGCCCCTGAGCCCCGTGCTGGAGCCTTCCTCGGGGCAGATGCATTTCGAGCCCTTCCTCAGGCAGTACCCCAAGGTGCAGCTGGAGCCGCCGCCCCCCAGCCCATCCCGGCTGTCCCCCCCGGGCCAGGGGCAGCCAGCACAGCCCCTCCCGTTCCCCTACCAGACTTGTGAGCTGCCTGCTGTCCCCTCTGCCGAGCAGTGCCACCTCTCCCAGAGCAGTGGAGCGTTGCCTGAGAGCCAGAGCAGCTCTGCAGAGGCACAGCCCGGCTACGACTCCCTGCCCCTGTCAGAACTGCCCGGACTCTTTGATTGTGAGATGATGGAGGCTGTGGATCCCCAGCACGGTGGTTATGTCCTGGTGAATTAGCACCCAGGGCATACTGGAAGGACAAAAGGAGAAGCATGTCAATTTTTGGTTGGTTTTTATTTTTTTTTCCCCACCGTTCCTACCCCCTCCCCACCCCCGTCGAAGTTTTTCGACCCTCGAATTGACAGGGGAACTGAAAATCCACCTGGCTGGAAGGAAAAAAAAAATAGCAGGAGGTGTTTGGCCCCAGTGGCAGGGGCTGGAGAACAGGGAGTGCAGCTTCATCCCACAAAGTCTGCGTAGAAGGAGGCAAAAAAGGTGAATTTCAGAGGAAGGAAATCGCCCCTTCTGAAAAAATTCGGGGAGTCTGTCAGCATTCATCCACCATCCACTCGGAGAGAGGAGAGTGAGTGCACACTTTTCGTACTTCTTGGCAATAAAAGCAATAGTTTTCACTGAAATTCAGGGTAGATTTGGGTCTGCGCTGATGGCAACTGAAATCCTCTGGAGAACAGGAGCACGAGGTGGAATTCAAGGGAAGTTGCACTTTGGTTGGGCTCCTGGTCTGGGATTACTCCGTGGCCAGCCCTGAGCGTCTCAGGCAGCCTCCACTTCCTCCTGCTGGCACCTAACCAGGATTTCCCAAGCCTGCCAAGGAGCTCTTCACTGTCTGCTGAAGGAATCTGGAGCAAGGGACACCTTGATTTTGTCAAAAGAAACCTGGGATTGTGTGGAGAGACCTCTGGGTGGGGATCGGAATTCTGGAGGATCAAGGATGAGCCAACAGAAGGTAAGAGAGCCATGAGAGAGAGAGCAAAAGCTGCAGGAAATGGCATTAAAAATACAATATCCACCTGGGTGGCTTTTGAAATCACCCCCTATTTCAGGAGGGCTCTGTCCTGGAGAAGTTCTGCTCGCTGGAAAGGATCCACCTGTCCCTGGGTTGCATTTTAAAAACAAACAAGCAAACAAAACTGTGTTTTGAATTTGCAGTATGTGTTGCTGGTGGTTTCTTGAGCTTTGTATATTTGGACAATTATTTAGGGTTTTAGAACTTTAAGGATAAAAAAAAACAATGAGCTTATAAAAAGTAAAAAAAACACCCCTGTGAAGTGATAGTGCTGTGCCTTTTTCAGTTCTTTATCAGCCTATATGCTTTTTTCTGAAGAAAGTAGACAATACCCCATTTATATCCCTGCTGTGGCCAAAGTCCCTTCAGAGCACACGTCCCACCATGTGGGACATGTTTTAACTTCCTTAGTGTTTGAATGGCTCGTGTATATAGGACACTGAAAGTATCACAGCAATATTTCAGCATCAATCTGTTGATGTCTCCACCATTTCAAGGAGATGCTCCAGCTCCAGCAGGAGCTGTGTCTCCAGAACTTTCCACTCATGAAATCCCAGTCACAGGAGGGGGGTGGCTCAGGGAGCTGCAGGAGGATGAGATCTCCAGTTTGGGGTTTGGCTCTGCCCCTCAAGTGTGGCCAGGCCAGCCCTTTCCTGAGCAAACATTAAGCACAATTGCAGCTTCATCAAAGCACAAAGAGCGGGAGGAACTGTGCTGATCACACCAGAGTTTGCTGGAAGGTTTGGTCTTTGATACTGCAAATCCCCAGGGCGGAGGGAGGTGAAAATCAGCGTTTACAGCAATAAGACCACATTAAAACATGGACTAGGAGGGGTTTAGCCACTGTGTGTGAAGGGAGAAGGGTTTAGCAGGTGACAGAAGGCACCCGGTCCGTGTGTGGGCAGGTGGAGACAATTCCTGTTCTCTGGAGCCTGCTCTGGCACTGGCCCAGTCCAAAAGTGCTCAGCTGCTACCTCTGCTAGCACAGGGATCCTCAAGGCAAAGGAGAGTTGGAGGAGCAGGATCACGAGGCAAAGATGGCCAGAAAGCTCTGCTTTAAAGGGCTGAGGGAAAAGGTTTTTGTTGGGAAGGAAATCTGTCTGACACGGTGGAACACAGACCCAGTGACACCTGAAGGGAAACAGCCTGACAAAAACTGCAGCAGAACAGAGCAGGAGCAGAGAGGAAACAGAGTCCTGTCCTTTCACTCCCCCTTCCCTACCCCACAGCACAACCCACACCTTCTGCAATGTGGAATCTGTCCAAGCACTCACAGACCTGGGCAGTGAAAGCTGCTTCCAGGACAGCCCCGCTGCTGCTCCAGGAGCTGGCTGGGTGCCAGAACAATAACCACTTCCTTCCCCATCCAGCTCCAGGATCCTGCACGTTTCAGGACTCAGAAGATAAAAATAATTCCCTTCTGGAGTTCTGCAATTCATTTATCAGGATGTGCCAACCAGTGTGAGCTCCTTGGAGCTTTGCAGTGCTGGGCAGGGGGAAGCTGCAGTATTTTTTAATGTAGTTTAGACTGACTCTTTCCCCTCAGCCAAAAGCATATTTAACATTTCATGTAATTTCCTTTAAGCCAATTAGGACTAAAAGGCTTCTGAAGCCTTCTCATACAGAGAGGATCCATTGGGCACCACTTCCTACTCCTTTGAAGTGGCTTTTTTGTTCCAATCTCTTCTGTTCTAACATTAGAGAACTGTGTACACTACTGTTAGAGTAATTATTAGCTTTATTATCTTGTACTACAGCCTCCTTTGAAGAGACTTTGGTGTGATGTATATGGGGTACAAATTTCATACGGAGAAAAGTGCAATATGTGTGTGTGTGGTATGTTCTTTAATGTATTTTTTTAAGGATTTAGAGGGTTTAGTCTCTGCTTTGGGATAAATGCACTAGTTTTGTGAGCTCCAGTTTGGCAAGTTCATCTGTAGTATTTACATGCAACTGATCTGCTGGACTCTGTAAAGCAGTTACAGTGTATTAATACAAAATAAAGAATATGTGCATTTCATTTTTTAAATTTCTAGTGAGCTAAAGCAGCGCCTGCCACTCTTGTCTTCATTAGGGTCAAGTTATTTTCTCTCTGAGGCACCAAAACAATTGATGTCTGCTGCAAACATTGGATTTTCTAGACTGAGGTTTGCTCCCCATGGTTCTGACACGCTTGGGATTGTTGGTTTGCTAAATATGAATTTGGAAAGACTGGAAAACTTGGTGCCACAGGATTGGCACAGCACTTTGCACTTTCTTTAATAGAAGGCTCGTTCAAAATTAATTAAAAGGAGAACAAAAAACAGTGGAGAGATCGTCAGCAGCTCTTGTTTTAACATCACCAGTGACATTCCTGTGACCCTCATGCTTCCTGCTGATACCACGGTGTGATGTTTGGAGATAAAATGCAAAAGTTTGTGGAGAACCTGTGGATTCTGTTCCCCCACCCCAAAACTGCTTTTAGGCAGTGACTCAGCCCCAAACATCCACCCCTGAGGTGGAAAACCCAACAGAGCTTTAAAACTGGGGCTGAACTCAGTGCAGGCAGCCCTGCTGCTGAGCTGGTTTGAAAAATCCAAATAGAGATTTAAAATTGTACCTGAATTCAGTGCACGCAGCCCTGCTGCTGAGATGGTTTGGAAAATCCAAGAGACACCTAAAATCATGTCTGAACTCTGTGCACAGAGCTCTGCTGCTGAGCAGGCTTGGGAAATCCAAGGAGAGACTTAAAATTGTACCTGAATTCAGTGCACGCAGCCCTGCTGCTGAGATGGTTTGGAAAATCCAAGAGACACCTAAAATCATGTCTGAACTCTGTGCACAGAGGTCTGCTGCTGAGCAGGCTTGGGAATTCCAAAAAGAGCCTTAAAATTGTGTCTGAATTCAGTGCACACAGCCCTGCTGCTGAGATGGTTTGAAAAATCCTAAAATTGAGGAATATGTCAGACTGGCTATAAAATTACAGCAGGAATTAATTCTCCTCTCCTCCCTTTCTCCCTCCAATGCTGGACAAAGTGCAGGACTGGAAAATGAGGCACAAATTCTGCAACCCTGACCCTGATGGGAACGTGGCCAAGCAGGTCACTGTGGGGAAAGAGCTGCAAGTTCAGCCAGCAGAGGGTTTTGCTGATTCAGGTGATTTTCTGATGGGAATATTGCATTGCAGGGGAGGTCAGATGGCAGAGAGCTCATGTGAAATGTGATGAAAAGAAACTTTTAATTGGATGGCTCCCATAGGGCATCAGCTGGGAATTTGAGGCAAACCCTCAAAGGGATAAGAATTGGGAAATGAATGGAGAAATAAGGGAAATGTTTCTGCCCCCAGTGCCTTGAGGATTCCATTGCTTGCACCTCGAGGTACAGAGAATAACTCAGTGCCACTGGCTGAGGTTTGCAAGGCTAAAGGAATAGGCTCTGTGTGGACTAAACCTGATATTCATCTGATTTTGGACAGGTTATCCTGATTCTCAGTGGTTAAAAATTAGCAGAACAAAAAGTTAATTGTGGAAGAGCCTGGACACGCAGGCAAACCAAGAAATTTGAGGTTAATCTGAGTGTAAAACCACAAGATTGAGTGGAAACTGAAACCAAGGAAGGAACATCCTCTAATTTAAAAGAAATGGCCCCTGATGAAAAATCATACCTGCAGCTCCAGCAGCAGAGAATTCCATCCAGTGCTGACAATTTAATAACCACAGAAAACCTGTGCCTGCTGTTAGAAACACCACAGATCTTTAAAAGGACAAGAGTTAACCCTGGGGGTGAAATAAGCAATGGGTGAGGGGTAAAGACTGAGAAACTGAAGCCTGGCAGCTCCAAAAGGCACATCCACAGCCCAGAATCCCCCCTGACCTCAGGATGACCAAGGGGACCCCAGCAGGGATGCCCTGAGGAATCATCCCAGCACAGGCAATCCCAAAAGGAGCACACACCCCCCATGGCAACACGCTCAGGAATGTGGGCACAAGGCTACAGCAGGTTTTATCCTCCTTTGATCTGATTTTTAAAGCTCTATCTGCCCGTTTTCCCAGGGTTTCCAATCCGCCATCCCTCCCAGGAAAGCTCCATTTTCCCCAGAGCTGTCACTCAGTGCTTCTTGAGTTTCAATATGGGGCTTTCAGGAGAGATCTCTCTGCTCAAAAAGCTCCCCAAACGTGGTGATTTCCTGCCAGGGAAATGCCATAATGTGGTTTTATGTAACAGCCCCTGCTGGGGTGACTTATCAGCAAATAAAGGCCGTGGGGTTTTGATAAGGATCCGTGTGGGGTCGGTGTGCAGAGCAGCAGCAAAACCTTTCACACACAGGGAGCTAATGGAGGGTTTGTTCCCAAAATACCCCCAAATGGCCATTCACCCAGCTGAGAGTGCCCTGCCAAGGCCGGGCACATTCTGGGAGCTCAGAACTCCCTGCTGGAGAGCAGAGCTGGGAGCTGACATCAACAGGGGAAATTATCCCAGGGTATAATCACCTGGGTCTGCCTCCCCTGAGCACGGCCCGGCAGGCACAGGGGGCTGTTTCCATGGAAAACGCTTCAGCAGAGCCAGGCAGCCTTCTGCAGGACCACCAGCCCCCACCAAAATGGTACAGGATCTATATTGCTGTGAAAATAAACACCTTGAGCTTCTGCGGCTCTGCGAAAGCTCAGCTCAGGTGCACAGATTGCACAGAGCAAAACCTCCCAGAAGGGAGCAAAAGGATCGTTTTCCTCTTCCTTCCCTATTCCAGGGCAGGCTGTTCTGTTCAAAATTAACAATTTACATCTTGGTCACTTGGAGAAGCTCCTGGTCTGGGGAATCAGGAGCTTCAACTTCACCAAAAAGTTCCTTTTCATGGCAGAGGAAGCTGCAGGAGCTGAGTCCTGTCCTTCAGCAAACCACAACACCCAGGCTGGCGTCCAACAGCACCCAGAAAAGGCAGGTGAGGAACTCTGAACACCCAGAAAGGCACAGAAGAACTCCTGGAGCTGGAAGATGAGCCCAGCATCCCCCCGGCAGCAGTTCCCAGCTTCCCCATCAAACTGGGCACAGAGCAGGGCTGTTCAGGCTGAATCCAGGGGCAGAGCTCAGCAATTCCCTTTTCCCCCGGACTCCCAGCCCTGGCTGGGGTGAAGAGAAGAACAAACCCGCAGGAAAAGCGGCTTTAACTCCCCCTTCCCAAAGCGGGAGAGCATCGTCATTAATGCAGCAAATTAACAGCCGGGCCTCGTCAGCCCTGCTCGCGTCAGCGCCGCTGCACGGAGGGGCTGCTGGAGGGATAATTAATTATTGCCGCTAATCAGGGGCTGGGGCAGGGCAGGGCTGCGGCTCCCCTTCCCCAGCGGCGTTTCCTTGGAGCCGTTGCCATGCCAACACATCTGTCTGGGCCATCCCAAGTTTCAGGTAATTCAGCTCAGAAAGGTTCTGAAGGGCTTTAACCCTTTCCCTTCCCCTCGGGTTTGGTCACAGAACTCTCACAGGTGCCGGTGGGGAAGGAAACTGGTGCTCGATTTCCTCTGCCAAGGGATCCACCAGCTCTGGATGCAGCAAGGTAAAAAAAAAACCACCACGAAAACGTCACAAAAACACACAGAAAACCCTGAAAATCCAGCAGGAATTGCCTAGAGCCTGAGTCACAAACCAGCCACTGAGAGGGGCATGTCCTGCTTTAAACCACACAAAAAGGGGTCTCAGACCTCACCCCCTCACTGCCCCCCACCACAATTCCACATTTCCAGCCCCAAATCACCCTCGGCCAACAGACACAGATCCCAGCTGTGCCAAGCTCCCGTTAAAAATAAGGAAAACCTTGACCTCCCCCTGGGACCAGGAGCCTTCAGCCTCACCCTTCCCAGCTCAACCCTCAGCCTCTGCCTCCAAAGACACTCCTGGCCCCCAAACACTTCACCTCTCCTTCATATTTATTGGAAATAAGCACATTTTTGGAGAGAGGCCAGAGCTGTTTCTCAGTTCTTTGACCAAATTTATCCTAAATATTGACCATAATGACAACAAGTGGTGCATTTCATATTCCACAGGGCAAGACGGATTTGAAAAGCAAATTTCAAAAAATGAGTGCCATCCACTTCATTTCAGCAGTTAAAACACCAGGATTTTGGGGGGAAGGCTCAGGAAAGTCACTCTCCAAGAAGCCCCAATAATTCTGTCCCGATCTGCACGGATGCCACGATTTAATCAAGATAAACACAGAGCAGCAGCAGGAAAACAAGGGTTTGGGAGCAGCTCATCCCAGCCTCACCCCTGACTCAGAACTGGGGGCTGGGTAAGAAGAGCAAAGTGGAAGCAAAACCCTCCATTCCTGGTTTATTTTGAACACGTTGCCTGGAACCATGGCACGACACAGCCACATTTTTCCCTTTCCCTGGGGGATTTGTCCCAGAATACCAGCCTTTAAAAGGGCTGATTTTTAATTTTTTTATTTTTTTTATCAACAGTTCTTAGAAGCCACAAATTGGTTTTTTTTCTCTGAAAGAGTTAATTGTAAACTGCCTGAAAATAAGGCTGGAGAGACTCAGAGGGGAAGGCAACAGCTCCTGGGAGCTCTGCATTGTTCACTGGGGGATGGGGGAAACCTTTCCCAACCCAGAGACCTCCTGAAGAGCCTCGAAAAGAGAAATAAAAGAAAAAAAAAGGGGGGAACAGCCACACTTTTCAGCTGATAACCAAAAGGAGCTGTGATCAGGAGCAACCCCCTCTCTGAAATCAAGGTTTAAAAAAATAAAAGAACACCAAAGGAACCTTCAGCTGGCAATGCAAACTCAACCTCAGCTGCAAACTCAGCCCTGCCTGGTCCAGCTCAGCCTCGGGGCATCCTCAGAGCCCGCAGGTGGTGCCAGTTTGGGCAGCTGGAGCCCTTTGTCCCCAGCAGAGGTGCCCAGGGGCTGCGCTGTCCCCCTGCCCACCTTCCTCCACAGGGAATGGCCAAGGTGTGGTTTGGGCGCAGAAAATGTTGGGATGGGGCTGGCATGACCCAAGCACAAGGGAGAGCTCTGGGAAGAGAGAAGGTGACACATAAAATGCTCTTTTTTTATCAGCACCTGGCCCCAGGTTTTGGGGACAATCCCTCGGAGTGATGCCTGGTGCAAAAAACAGAAAAAAATCCAGATATTTCCCTCCACCTGTCCCCAAGTTTTGGGGACAACACTTCAGAGTGATGCCTGGTGCAAAAAACAGAAAAAAATCCAGATATTTCCCTCCACCTGTTCCCAGGTTTTGGGGACAATCCCTCAGACTGATGCCTGGTGCAAAAAACAGAAAAAAATCCAGATATTTCCCTCCCAGGCACTAAAGGCTTTCCCAAACCCACGG